TGAAGAACAGCCCAGACCCAGACTTCAACTTGCAAAGGAACTTCCGGTTTGAGCTCATAAAAAACCCAAATATTATACTAACTAAGTACTCATCCCCTCACAGCAAGCACCCTCACCCTCAGGAGAGTCTCGGACCCTCTTTGAGCAAGCAATCAGTATCAGGACTTTTTGCATTCCAGGGATGAGGGAGACTCGAGAATAGCGCAGTATGAAATTGCAATCTACGTTTAAGTTTATCATCATCTTGAAGTCCTCACAATGACAATCCCATCACAGCCATGGACCCGGCCTGGCACGCTGCACCCGTAGTGCACAGCATAAGGTCTTCTCAAGGCCTCCGGAGCACGGCAGAAACAGCACATTGACCACAGCCTCAACAAAGATTCTGCAGTCAGACTGGAACCAGCACCGAGCGACCCCCGCATTTTCTAGGCCTTGCGGACCCCGGAAATTTGTGATGAATCCGGGCTCGGTTCATCACAAACACTGTTTTCAAAAAGGATTGCCTACAGAAATCAACGACGGCAGGTGACCGAAGCAATGCTTGCTAAGTGTCCATGCCGCACCTGAATTGTTTGCCTATTAATCTATCACCTTGGGCTGCGGCTGTGCACCCGGCAGGTCTGAAGTAAACTCAATGTGGAGCCCGATCTTCCTGCGCCGCTTGAATCTTGTTTTTGGTTAGTTATAATAACTGATGTGCAGAACGTAGGCCAATCACGTCATGGAACACGGACACTGAACAATCCAGGCCCAGCTTCAACAGAAATTCGATCCAGGACCAAGTCAGTCGGCGTGCAACCCCCATCACCCACTCAACCAGGCCTTCCCGTGCCCGGAATTTTGTGAGAACGGCCTCGGTTCATCACAAACACTGTCTTCGGGATTGCCTGCAGAGATGCTTACGACGATATCCGACCACAGCACTGCTTACTAAGTGCCAGTGTCCATGCCGCACCTGAATTTGATGATTAAATCGCCCTCCACCTTAAGGCCACGACTGTGAAGTGGATTCGCGATGTCTCGTCTTCCTGCACGGCTTGAAGTTGAAGCGAAGAACTCATGCCAATTACAGCAACATAGTACCCATCATATCATAGTCAATGACAATCAACCATGCCCGACGCCAATTCAGAATGCATGATGATCATTGATTGCACTCCTAACGTTTGGGAGCCTCGGGCCCGAAGCTTGTTTTCACCCCCAGCTGCTGCCACATTCCCCCCGGAGCCGCTTCATAAATTCCGGGCCGTGCGGACCCCGGAATTTTGTGATGAAACCGGGCTCGGTTCATCACAAACACTGTTTTCAAAAAGGATTGCCTGCAGAAATGAACGAGAGTAGGTGAACGAAGCAATGCTTGCTAAGTGTCCATGCCGCACCTGAATTTTTTTGACTTTTCTATTCCTCCAAAGCCTTAATACAAAATTAGTAGCAATAGGCTAAGTTAAGGCTGTTTCCAGACAACATCACCAAAACTTCAATCGTTGCACACATACACACACACACACATAGTTTAATTTTAATCAAATTTCACAGAAACACGACCTCCACAGCATCACAATGGCCTCGACAGGCAGCGCGCTGTCATTTTGTCTATAGGGTTTGTGATGAGCGCGACCTGGATTGATCAATTATTAAATGGACTTTGCTCATTTCCGAAATTCCGGACCGTGAGGACCCCGGAATTTTGTGATGAAACCGGGCTCGGTTCATCACAAACACTGTTTTCAAAAAGGATTGCCTGCAGAAATCAACGACGGCAGGTGACCGAAGCAATGCTTGCTAAGTGTCCATGCCGCACCTGAATTATCTTGACTTACTATTCCTCCAAAGCCTTAATACAAAATTCATAGCAGTAATAGGCTAGCGCTGTGACCAGCCAACATCAGCAAACTTCAATCATTATACACACCTTGATCTTAGTTTATGATTGTCTCAGACTGGATTCATCACAAATGCACTCCGGGGATTTCGGAAATTCCCCGGACTGCATTTGTGATGAACTAGTCCGGGCTCATCACAAATCCAGTCCGCGGATTTCCGCGCCAAAACCCCGGACTGCGTTTGTGATGAACGCGGACTGGATTCATCACAAATGCACTCCGGGGATTTCGGAAATTCCCCGGACTGCATTTGTGATGAATCTAGTCCGGGCTCATCACAAATCCAGTCCGCGGATTTCCGCGCCAAAACCCCGGACTGCGTTTGTGATGAACGCGGACTGGATTCATCACAAATGCACTCCGGGGATTTCGGAAATTCCCCGGACTGCATTTGTGATGAATCTAGTCCGGGCTCATCACAAATCCAGTCCGCGGATTTCCGCGCCAAAACCCCGGACTGCGTTTGTGATGAACGCGGACTGGATTCATCACAAATGCACTCCGGGGATTTCGGAAATTCCCCGGACTGCATTTGTGATGAATCTAGTCCGGGCTCATCACAAATCCAGTCCGCGGATTTCCGCGCCAAAACCCCGGACTGCGTTTGTGATGAACGCGGACTGGATTCATCACAAATGCACTCCGGGGATCCCCGGACTGCATTTGTGATGAATCTAGTCCGGGTTCATCACAAATCCAGTCCCCGGAACGCGGACCGCGTTTGTGATGAATCCGGGCTGGATTCATCACAAATGCACTCCGCTGACTCCAATCCTATTTCCCTGCCCCCAACTGACAGACGTTGAGGCTTCAGAAACTGGCTTCCGTGCCTCGGATTCCACAGGGTCTCGAAGAGGCCATTCATCAGAAATGACCTGGGTGCAGCAGCAGGCCCCAAAGTGATGAGCCAAGGCTTCGCTCATCACAAAACCCTTGGCTTTGACCCTGCAATTGGCAAGTGCGTGCGGAAGATGACCCAATCATGCTTGCACACAGGTTGAAGCCATGCTTTTTGCGATGAACGGCGACTCCATTCATCACTTCCTGGACTTCTCTCTAAGGAGATGATTTTCTGAGGACATGGCTCTTTTGCGATCAGCATTTTCCGAATGCAGCTGTCTATTTTGAGAGGGCTTGATGATAATGAAATGCCGGGTTTTTATCACTCAGTTCGGAAGTCAAACACTGACCGAAAACGCCTCAGTAGCGATCTCCAGGGCCCGTGGCCATTGCATGCCATTGCCCCATAAGCGAGCTGCAGCTTTGTACACATGCACCTGTCGACGTGCAGCGCGGTACTGCATCAACGCCTCGGGCTGCTCACGACACAAGCGCAGGGCGTTCGGCTCCTTCCGTTCCAGCAAGACTGTAATGATGGCAGGAGTTCAGTAAAGGGTGATGCAGACGCTACACAAAAATAAAAATTCCAAGTGCTGATTTAGGGTTTAAGATTTGGAGACTTAAGGTTTAAAGTTTAGGAAGTATATAGGAATTAAGGGTTTAAGACTATTTAGGATTTAAGGTTTTAGGACTTAGGGTCTAGGATTTTAGGAATAAGCTTACTTACTCTTATTATTTCGTGGGGTCCGGGTTGAAGTCCACGGCCACTGGAGCTGCATTGCCGGCGGGTCCAGGGCCGCCAACTGCTGGACCCGGCGCAGGCAAAAGCCTGCCAAGGAACATTATTCCTGCAAACCCTTTGAATTGGAAATTCAAATATAGTCTGTCGGCGTGAACTGTCACTGGCTACAACATTCATCGGATGGCACCTGTAAACTTCGAGCGGAGGTCCCCGCGGGCCCAGACCATCAGCCAGTTGCTCCAAGCGGTCCGCAGCTTCGTGACGACGAAATGGTTCCGAGCCTGAAGGTGCCAGTTACCAGCCCAGCAAAAGCATAGTCTGAAGCTTGACTCTCATGGGTTTCGTTGTGAAGGGTTTAGGGCTTTCAGGGATTTGAAGCTAAGCCCTGTCAGTTGACATCAGGATATCGCTGCCAGGCGAGGGGCGCAGCACGGCAGCATACTTGCGCCAGTTCTGCGCAGCTTTGGTCTCCATCTTCTTCTCCACGCTCATAACTGCCCAGGCAAGGCAGTGCAGCCAACTCTGTCTCTGTCAATTCATTGCGACTCTGAGTCTGGTTCAAGCATTCTGAAATTTCAACAACTGTGGGAATGACATGACACTGATCAAAAGAATGACAACTGCATGCATTTCCAGTGAAAGGCCTTCGGGAATCATGCCTGTGTCCATCATTGCACGGGCGACGGCTGCAGGCAGGTAATTGAACGCCGTGCCAGCGAAGCTGGCCTGATTCATCCACTGCTTCGTCCTGTCCGGTGCAAGAGTCAGTCCAATGATAAGGTTTGTAGGGTTTAAAGAAATACCACAATAATTTACAGCGGTAGATCCGCTCAAAAATGATTATCTTGCGAGCAGGGCTTCTGCAAATGACATATGGATGTTATTCTGTGGCTGGAGATTGCAGTACGCCATAATAATATCCTGAAGCTTGCATCGACTCCGACAAGGATGATGAACTAGGACTCCTTAAATGAGCAGGAATGGGATTCCGAAAAAAACCTAAACTCGAACTTACGACGAATGATTCCTTACCCAGAGCTTCTGCAGCCGAGCCCAAGGAAAGCCGTGTCTATCACTTCAGTGTCACTCGACCGCGCCTCAGCAACACGTCTCCACGTTGCACAGCATGGCCACGCTTGGCCCAGAAACGCCCGTCCACATGCACTCCTTGCAGCGCACCTTTTGGAGTTAAAGCAAAACTAAGGTTCTTGATGTCGCACTAACTTCTAGCTGGTGCTGATACACAGTCAGGTTCAGGGTTTAGGCGGCTCTAAGTATGAGTGAAACTTAATCAGGTGTATTCTTGGCTTCCGGCAGAGACTTATTATGCCTACACGCTTTGGGCAAATTCGGCCTTCAGCTTGGAGGTCTTCGTAGAGGTCGAGTGCCAACACGTGTGGAGCGCCAGGTCCGCCAATTCCCTTGACGTGCACGTGATGGGTGCTCTCTGACATAAAGTGCTTCCTTACTGAATGCAGGCCGGGTTTGAGCTCATCGGTCGGCGTCTGTTACTACTCAAGAAACAATGACAATCAAACCATCATTTTCAATGCCACATCCAGACCGAAGGACCAGTTTCTGACCTGGTCTAACTTCACCACCGCTCGATCCTGCTCGTGCGGGCGCGGCTGCGCATGCAAGAAAGCATTGAGAAGGTCCACGAAAGCTTCTGGAGAATCAACCTCCTGGTGCTGCTCTATGAATCCTGCCAACAAGCCAAACCAAGCGTCGACGTCCTGCAATGGAAATCAATCTCAGGGCCTTTGACTAACGATCGAACTTCCTTCGGTGGCTAACTAAACTGATTCAATAAACAATGGTCGTACGCCCAATCCTATAGAATTCCATGAGAACCTGCCTCGTGAGAGTGTCCGCTTTCTAAATAGCGAAGTTCACACCTGCCCAAGCGGCGCGAGGAGACTAACCCCGATAATGCTCGGAGGAGGGTATTGTTTTTGCCCTCCTTCGAGCAGTTGTCAGACTGGATGACCAGCTGGCACGCCCGAAGATCCACCATGTCGCGCTGCAGTCTTTGTAGGGTGTGCATGATGATCTCGGTTGTGCGAGAGCTGTCGGCGCTCACGTGCCCTTCACTGATACAGAGTAAAGCGGAGTATCCGTGGCATATTACACCTGTGCACGTGAGGTGCGGTCTGACGAACGAAGCGAAGTCCTTACTCTGCAGCACCAGGCTGCGGGGCCAGCGCAGTTTGGAGTGGTCGATGGAGTCGACAATGATGCAGATGGTCCTCAATTGTCGCACGCTCAGAGCACGGATCCGGCTTTGAGCCCGTGTGGCCCAATACTGAACCCTGTCTTCGTATTGACGACGAAGGTGGGAGCCGTATGCGATCATCTGCGCCTGGCGCGCCTTCCAATCGTTGCCCAGCCTGGACACAATCAGCTTGTGTCTCATGCAGCTGGCGCACTTGGAGTGCTGAGAATATTCACGGATCGACAGCAGCTTGTGGAACGACTGGGACCAAACCTCGCAGGTTTCGATGTTAAAGCAGTGGCGAATGCCACATGGATCACTCCGAAGGTGACTGCACATTCCTATTATTATGATCTCGCACACTGACCCTTACAAGATCAAAATCCCAGGAAACCGTGCAATGACAACTTGAACAGAAACCTTGTTGAACAACTTGAGGCTGATCTTCTGAACGTTCTCGTGCCCTTTGATCTCCCCAGCATTCAGCCGAGCATTCAGCAGATTCAAATAGTCGGTGAAGGTCCCTGGCGGGAGGCAGCGCATCTCTCGCATCTCCTGAGCACCAGCTGCAGTCTTGGGCTTTCGTTGTTTCGCTATAGACCACTCGAGGCCGGCGGCCGCGGTGGCGCCGAAAAGCCATGAACTGACGGCCCTCCGGGCGACGATCCTCGAACCTTGCAGCTGCCGTGAGTGCAGCTGCTTCCTCCGGAGGCTTGCCATGAACATTGGGCAGTGGTTCAGCAGCAGTCTCATACAGCTCTTGGAGAAACTGCACAACCACTTCACGCTTCGCCTTGCTGCCTTTGTTCCTCGTCAAGAACAGGCGATGCCCGAAGCGGCCATCTAGCGGAGCGGGCTTTTGTGCAGCAGCTGCAAGCCTGAGCTTCCGGAAGCGGGCCGTGCCAATTCCCAGCAACATTCTGAAAGCCATCTGGCAGACCGGAACCTGCAACACCGACAGCGACAGCGTAGCAGATGCCGTCAACATTGCATGAATCCGCACATCAGCATCTCTCTTGTCAAGAGATCGGAGCTCTTGGCGTAGCTTCTTGAGGCCAGCAACGTTGCCGGCAAGCTTCTGAAGACATGTCTGGCCTCTGCATTTGCAGCGGCGCTTCGTCAGCTGTACGAGCCTCGACTGCAACAAGTGGGCAGCTGGTGCCACCCGTTGTAGTCTGGATCTCAGGCCAATGCCTGACTGTCGTCCCTCGGAGAGTCCTGTAGGGCCTGGCCGCCGCACCTGCAATGTGGATGCTTCAGCCGCGTCTGGAGCATCTGCTGCGGCATCGCTCGATCGTCGTGCCAAGCCATCAGTCTGATCGTCATCGGACAGGCTGTCGATGGTCCTGGCCTGGGAGGCTCGCGCACGGCCGGGTCGCCGCAGCTGCACTGTGGATGCTTCAGCCTCAGTGGTGTCTGCAGCATCTGGAGCGACCTCAGGGGGTCGCTCCTCATCCGATAGATACTCAACGGTCCTGCACCGCTTTCCTCGGATGGCACTGGACCGGCAATGGAGAGAGACGACTTTCCAATGATGAGAAAGCAGCACCAGACCAGCAAGCATCGAACTGTAGGCAAAAGCCTATAACAGATAATGAAAGAGAATAGCCATCCTGGAAATGGTCCTAAGCCCCGCGCGAAAAAGCAAAGAACACTTTAGGCTCAGGACGACCCTCCCCTGAATGGCATCGTTGAATTTATTGCTTCCCAAGTACTCCCGAATCTCGCAGCCATAACGTAGCAGAAGCCTGGCCGCTTGCGGTCTCCGGGCAGAGGCCTGAAACATCATCACCAAAGCCTGCAAGGCAAGCAGCTGCGTATCGTGTCCAAAAGAACTGGCCCGCACTCCCATGAGGGCAATAAGTTAAGGAAAGGTCAAAATTTTGCAATTATCGTCGTGGCCCTGCCTGCCGATAACAAAGCCACAAGCAAAGCGGGCTGAACGCAGTGCAGGAGGACATGATGATGGAGTGTCATGAACCGAGGATAAAGTTAAAGACAATGTTCATCTCGATCCTCGTTTAATTTAGCTGAAGGTGGGGCTGGGCTTCGAGATGATCAAGAGTTATTGAATTCGGTTATTATTCATTGAATGACACGGGGCCAGGTTCTGCGCACTTATTGCTGTGATTCGGGGTCGGTGTTGCTGTTCTGGATATTTACATAGACGTGCGGCAAACTTCTTGCTTGTTATTGGGAAGTCGTCTTCAGACTTTGTTTCGGCGTCACGTGTCAATGTCATACACACGGGGCCGGGGTCATGTTATGCACTCTTCTTGCTGCGATGCGCAAACAGACCAACGACAGTCATGCAACACCAGGGGCTTCTCGAATCTGCTGCCAGGAAGACTCTCAGTCAGTCAGTCAGTCAGTCAGCGTCAGAAGCAATGCAACCACACAGGGACTGTCAATCTTCAGGATTGCATTCAATGTTGCCTCTCTCACTGACTGTCACTCACTGTGACCGTGACTGCGTGATTGTGAGTGAGACGACGTGAATCAGAGCGACAATGAGGCGGGTGAGTGAGGGAGACAGAGTGGGAGAGACAAACACAGAGAGAGAGAGAGAGAGAGAGAGAGAGAGAGAGAGAGAGAGAGAGAGAGAGAGAGAGAGGTATGACCGCAGCTACCAGAAACAGTGATACATGATAATCGAGGAACCGACGAATGATAATGATCTTCGCACGAAAGCATCTTTCACCCCAGCTCCAGTCAGTGTCGGAGAGCACAGCTTTCCATGACTACCCAGGCCCGTGAGTCAAGGCGCCTAGGGACTCTAAAGTCACGGCATCTGCAGCTCCATATTTCCAAACAAGTGACAGGCTAGCCTGGCACACTGTGGTATCACCACGTTACCTAGAGCATCGAGCCGCTTGTTCTCGACTTTATCCAACGAGCTCTGGAGCCAGCGGACGAGGGACTTGGGCTTCGCATGAACGTTCCACTCCTTGGTCGCCTGCTCGTGCATTGCTGCCTCTGGCAAGATCCGGCAGCTTCTCCCAGCGGCGGCAAAGAGCTTGAAGTCGGGCTTGCGAGCATAAATGAACACTCGTAGCCGTCTCATCTGGGCAGTGACAGCCGTCGGAGGCAACACTGTAATTAGACACAGGCTTATGCATGTCCATAGACAATATAATACCAGAACCCCGCGCACACACACACACACACACACACACACACACACACACTTGAGCACTGCGACTTGGAAATGCAGACGGGGAGCATGCAAGCCCACGTTCCTCGCCTGGCAGCTTGCCCAATGGACCACGAAGCCCCGCCGAGAAAACTCCTGGCAGCAGCATCTCAAGCAGCAGGGACGTGAATTGTCAAGCGCATGCTGAATCGGTTGCCGCATGGTGCCTCCAAAACATGATTCATCAGGGGCCGCATCTCCTCGGACAGCAAGTGGCCAACGTTCTCGAGGATGGCAAAGCGACTGCAGCAAGACTAACAACGCATCATCAACTCGAACAAGCAAGATAAAGAAATGCCAAGGCATGAAAGCTTTTTAGGGCCATGAGTAAGTCGATGCGGCTCAGGCGCATCGAGGTGCAGCAGTCGATGAGCCGGAAGATTTCAGATACCAGCCCGCTGCGCTCGTCGAGTTGGCCCCTCTTCAACCCCGCTTTGGAAACTCCCTGCCGGTGTGACACTGTCACGATCACTGAACAGACTCGGTGAATACACACGGACACGAAAATTGCTTCAATCTGTCTGTCGACACTGTCTGATCCAATTCTGCAAGCCACCTGACAGGGGAAGCCTGCCGTGATGCCGGCAAAGTCGTTGGATTCCGTGGTCGGGGTGTACTTCCGCACGTCGCCAATGAGCGCGGCCTTCCTGATTAGCCCGTCGTCAATGCGAGCGGCTATGATCTCCCGACACAGGGGGTCACATTCCACCTTAGCACCGTGGTTGAAGTTCTATCCAATACGCTCTCGATGAGAAGCCCCAAGGCCCCGGCATAGGCCGCGGCATGCACGAACCTGACACGACACCAAGTTCAAGAGCGATGAGAATGACAGAATAATCCCTCCTTCCACGCATGGCATCACAGGGCTACCTTCTCATTGTGAGTTTCTCAGGCTGCAGCTCAGAAAGTCCCAACTCCAAGCCCAATACGCCACTGAAAAGCGAAAGCACAGGCACGGTCTGCAGCGTGGAATCCTGAAGATTCAGAAGGCATCCAAAATTAAACGGATTACTACCTGCGCATCGGATAGGACCAAGCGAGGCATCGTTAAGGTTCAGGCCGGCAGCAACCAAGGGAACATCTGGAAAAAGACGTCGGGGTCGACCGCCCGCCTAGCGGGCTTTGTCCATCCCGGCGGCAATCCTGGCTTCAGGGCCGCTATTTTTTTCATTATGTATTCAGAACTCAGAACAAAGTCGGTAATAAACAACGCCCCGCCTGAGAAGTACTCCCCGAGCCGGACAGTCAGGCAGCGTTGCCGAGGCACGCTCATGTCTTTACAAGCACGTTGGTACTCCTCCCAATGGTACACCATGTTCGCGAGGTCTTGTTTGGCGCGCATCGAAAGATATCTCGTGTTGGCTGTTCGGGTGGTGCTGAAGAGTCCTGATCATCAAGCAGGAGCCATACAATAATATGTTATTGTTATCTGACACTGACGGAAAGACTGACACTGAGTGCAGGGCTCAAGCATCCCCAGTTGTGCAAGACAACGGGCTCGAGGAGGATCTCGGAGGTGGACTCTACCCCTTTGTCCGGCTTGGGCGGCACCTTGAGAGCCGAGGAGACACGAAAGCTAAACTCCTGAGGCATGGCTTCAACACTGCAGGCAGTAGGATTCGTAGAGTGGCAAGCTTGATGTCGAGGTCGTCCACTTCTGGAAGACAGCATGGCATCCAAGCCCGGATGTCCAACTGCCCGTTTGGCAAGCGTCCCCGGAAGCAGCCGAAGCTGGGAAGTCGAGGGCGGTCTGCCGCCCGTCTTGCCTGGCAAGCATATGTGCGAAGTCAGAGTTCAGAATTCATTAGAAAATGATTTTCAATGTCAAATGAATGCAGGATGCCTTCTTCGCTGGGCGGCGAACGTCAAGGCATTCAGGGGGCTCTGCCCTGCACGCTGGCAATGCACGCAGGAGCAACCGCGGAAAACACCGGCTCGTGGATGCTTCCCCTTTGGGTACCCGACACATCCATCTCAGCACCCGAGTGATCATCATCCTGAACATCCATCCCAGTCTCACACCTAAGCAGCAGATCACAATCCATCCATTGCCAATCTGAGGTGAAGTGCAGCAATTGGCCAGGCCGCAGACGGAAAGTCCTCGTCACTCAAGTGGTCCACGGAGTTCAACGGCATCACCCCTGCCAAACAAAACAGGCGTAATCACTGGGCTTCATGAGACTCGGAAGCGGCGCCTGGAGTTTCAGCCGGAGGCCGCCAATCCGCAAATGCCAAAACAAAAGCCCTGCTACCCTGAACCCAAAACTGCAGGCATCAGAATTCAGGCAGCATGCCCATGCCACGACGTCCGCTAAGGCTGGTCTCCGATCGAGGGCCGTACGGTGAAGTGCACCACTCGAAGCTTGTCGGAACCTAGGTCGTCGCCAGAATCAGAAGTAATGTAATCTGGCGAAGAAGAATCAGAAGCTGTCTCTTGCAGACAAACTCAGAATGAATGACGACCACTGGCAATGTAAAACTCAGTCAGTTGGTTTTTGGGCTTTAAGTTTAGGGCGTAGGGCAATCAGGCAAGGCTGTGGTTGTGCATCTAGCCACGACAAGGCCCAGGCCATCTTGATGACCATTGCAGCACGCAGCAGACGACCTCGACAAAACTACCAAAGGGGTTCCAGAGTTTGATTAAAGGTTCAGGGTTGAGGGATCTGGTGTTTATCGTTACAATCAAGGCTTCCACTTGACTAGCTCAGCTGACACCGCTCACTCACTCACTGACTGACATGAGGCTGCACGCAGAACCCTGCACCAAACTTGAAGCTGAGGACATGACGCCGGCCGGGCAATAGAAGTGCCAAGTGTCCTCACAACAGGGCGAATCAGTCAGGGCCCCGGACGGCCAACAATTGAGATAGCAGCAATGAATGACATCCCATGGTCTGGTTTGGTCAGCCAGCACACGCAGCTCGCACAAAACTAGGTGAGACCGGAGGCGAGAGCAGCGGTCGCCAAACAATAACAGCGCTAGACTGCCAGGCTATTCCGGATTCCATGTCAGGGACCAACCAGGAACCTTAAGCCTATTGACAATTAATCACTTCCGCTTCGACCTTCGCTCTCGCCTGGCTAATTCTTCGGCGGCTGCTTCGTCCTCAGCTTGCCGCTGTCTTTTGCGACTCAGACGAATCTCCGCCTCGAGTGCTCTGAACTCAGCTTCCTGAGACGTTGGATTCAAACTGAAATGGATGTTGAAAGCTTCGGGTCTTGTAATACAATAAATAAACAAAAGTCTGTAATGAGGAATTACCCAGGCTCGAACATCTGGAACGGCGCGGTGTGGCCGCTTTCCGGGTTGAACCAGAAGAACCTTTCACACATTGGCAGGTCCAGCGGCACGGCGTAAAACGACCAAAGCT